TCTCTATATCTTCAATATATGACTGTCAGGTTGTGATGAGTTCTGGGCTTTCTGATATCGGAGTTCACTTCTGTGTTTGGTGAAAGCAGCCTGAACTCTTTATACATTTCCAGGCACTGTTGTGGTTCAGCCCGAGCCGGTTCTCAATGAAGACAAAGATGATTTTAAAGGACCGGAATTTAGAAGCCGAAATAAAGTTAAAGCCGATCTTTCATTATCTAAGAAACGTCCAGGTAAGTGGTCGCAGCCGATCTTTGTACGCGTCATAGCTCCTATTGGATGAATGATCATATCTCGTCTTCTCTGTACTCGCAGAGGACGGTCTCCATGGAATAGTTAGCTGCACAGCATGCGGCCAGCAAGTCAATCACTTCCACAAGGACTCCATTCATAGGCACCCCGCCCTCCAGGTCCTCATTTGTAAGGTACGTCCCCATTGGTCAGATCTCTGCCTATTATCTGCCTGAATGTTATGCGGATGATCAGTGAGCGGTCCTTATGTAGAACTTTCTAGTGATCGGACTTCTGCGGATTTCATTGACTTACAATCTGATGAGGAATCAATCTATCAGTTCTCTGCACCTTAGGAGGAGATCCTTCCATCCAGGATGCAGGGACGCTGATACTTTGTTGTGGCAGCTTATCTGTGGTGATTGCCCATAGAGGTCTGTGCACCTGGCACCCCCAACCCCCTTCTCACTTTACCAGTGCGCCCTCACACCTGCCAGTGACCTACCCGCTTATAATGTCTTCTATCTCTACCAATTCATGTTTCCACTCTACTGGAGATTCTTCATTCTGCAAGGTCACTTTCCAGCATGGCCTGCCTTCTCCCTGCGCCCCTCGGCTACGGCCTGCCTTCTCCCTGCGCCCCTCGGCTACGGCCTGCCTTCTCCCTGCGCCCCTCGGCTACGGCCTGCCATGCTATATAATTTTCCATCTTCTATGTCCCGTCACTATATGAAGGACGGATTACAGTTAGGAAAGTGCAATCTGACATTGATGGCCCTCTTGGATGCACTTTTTCTTTTTTGGACTTTGGAAGCTGCTCTAATGCCAAGTCCATCAGACGGAACATATGGTAAGAGGATTAGGGAACTCTACAGGTACTAACAAATGTCTGTCAAAATCTCTCATTTTATTTATCCGTTTTAAACCACAAAATGCTTATTTTTGTATGAATTAGATGCATAATAACTGTATTATGGTAATTGAGTTCAATCATTCTAGAGCTACTGCTATCAGAGAGCATGGGCCTTACATCTAACTTCGCTTTTCTCAATGTTTATCTTCAGAGTTGCTTTAAATATTACATGAGTGATGACATCAACCGCGATGCCGATGGTATGGATGAACAATGCAGGTGGGTAGCAGTGCGTTTCTGGGACACTATGCCTTCTAGGGATGCACAGACACTGATACTAGTATTGGGGCGAGTACTAGTACCCGACCAAATGCTGCCGATGCCTAGCCCGATACCGTAACTTCAGGAGTCATTACACGCTGCCCAGCTTCCTGATTGGCCGGGAAGCCGGCTCCGTGCTCCGTCACCAGGGAGCGTGGAGCTGGCTTCCTGGCCAATCAGGAATTCGGGGGGTGGGTAATCACTTGCCACCCAGCTTCCTGATTGGACGGGAAGCTGGCTCCATGCTACCTCAGAACTTGGTGACGAGGGAGCATGGAGCCGGCTTCCCGGCCAATGGGGAAGCTGGGCGACGTGTATTGTTTCCTGTTTGGCCGGGATGCCGGCTCCATGCTCCCTTGTCATTTGGTGATGGAGCGTGGAGACGGCTTCCTGGCTAATCTGGAAGCCGGGCGGCGAGTTATTGCACACCGCCTGGCTTCCTTAATGGGACTTCGGTATTCGCCGATACCAAATACTGATACCAGAACAAAGACATCGGTGTGGGGGAAGGGTCTGCGTAGTTGCTCTTTGAGTGTAATAATTGTTTCACATTTTGTGAACTTGCTTGCTCTTCCTTGCCATTAATAAAATCTTCTGTCGGTGAGATTATGAGTGTTGAGACCGGGCTGGACAAATCCCGGGAGCCAGTGCTCCTAAAATAATATAGCCGGAGCCTAACATTTGAGGTATTCTCTAACTGTTGGCGATGGAGCTTGCTCCCGGGTTGGTTGGCTCCTGAATTCCATAATAATTTGTCCACCTCTGCCCTAAGATGAATGCGATTTCTTGCACATATAAGTCTGAGGACCAGAAATCTGCTTTAGCGCCTCTTTAACATTGCTGTGTTTTTGTCTAGGTGGTGTGCTGAAGGAGGAAATCTCATTTGCTGCGATTTCTGCCACAACGCCTTCTGTAAAACCTGCATCCTTCGGAATCTCGGTCGGAGAGAGCTGTCTACCATTATGGATGAAGAAAGCAAGTGGCAATGTTATATGTGCCAGCCTGAACCCTTGCTGGACTTGGTTGCGGCATGTAACAGTGTGTTCGACAACCTGGAGCAACTGTTGCAGCAAAATAAAAAGAAAATTAAGGTAGAAAATGACAAGGGCAAGATCTGTGACCAGAATCAGAAAACCTCCAGCTGTAATGGACAAGAAAAACTGGATCGTTTCTATTCTGGTGCAATAACCTATTCCTTTAAAGCACTTATGGTGCCGAAAGAAATGGTAAAGAAAACAAAAAGAATAGTTGAAACGACAACCAACTTAAACAAAAGCTTCATCAAGTTTCTGAAACACGAGTCCGAAAATGCGGTCGTTAACTCCGCCACCAATTTCCGACAGCTAAAGGCCTTTAAGTCCGTTTTGGGCGACTTGAAAAAGGCGCACGAAGCTCTGGAGGAAAGTTTGGCTTTGGAGCTTGCGTCTGTTCGAAGAAAAACATCGTCCAAGAAAAGTAAAGAAGTGACCGGTGAGCCGAAAGCGTCCAAAGAGAAAAGAACGAATGAAGAGGACCAGGGAACGGCCAACGTGTGTGACGGAGAAAAGGTGTCAAATTGCGACAGTGAAAATCACCAAGCATCTGAAGAGAGCCCGGAGAACGACCATCATGGGAAGCCGGGTGAAATGCCGGACGTGGAAGACTTGCCGGACGATGAGGAGAAAGATCCAGAAGTGTCTTCTACAAAGGGGAGTTTAGATGATGATGATGAGGATGATGATGCCGCTGCCAATGATGATGATGATGCCGCTGCTATGGAAGTGGAGGAGGATGCTGACGTGCAGCTGGCAGAAGATGATCTTGTCACCGTGGAAAATAAATCTCCTTCTGATGAAGATAAAAAAGAGAAGGAAGAAGTACAAGAAGATAGAAATGCTGAAAGCAGTTCTGATGAGAAGAGCCATAAATCGCCGCAAAACCGAAAGAAAAAGGTAACCGAAAAGTCAAAACGCACCTCGGGTGAAAGTAAGAGGAGAAGCACCAGGAAGGAGCCGGCGTCTGGGGCGGAGTCTGAGGACGAAGGTTCCGTTGCATCACCAAAAGAAACCAAGTCAAGCGCTTCTCCCAAAGCCAAAAGTGACCGGTCATTTGAACCCAATGCCGGAGAAGCTCTTGACATGGACATAGTTTCTGTCCCCTCTGCGGTCCCGGAAGATATCTTCGACAGTTTGGATTCCACCTTAGAGGCCCACAATGCTTTAAATGAGTCTGCCTTAAAAACTAGCAAAAAAGACGACCCGCAAGCCAAAACGCCTGTTAAAAAGGAGCTGATTCTGAAACTGACTCCGTTATCTTTCTCCAAGAGTCCCGAGAAGACTCCAAAAAAGAAAGCCAAAGGGTCTGGAAGTGATAATGAGGCCAGGAGCTCCAGCAATGAGCCTTCCTCCGACAATGAAGACCCCAAGCAGCGGAAGTCTCCACGCGTTAAAACGACACCCAAGCGACGCCAGAATGACTCGGCGACCTCCTTGCCCAATGCAGAGGAGGAAAGTCATGTCAAAGAGAAGAAGAAGCCTAAAAGTGAGCCATCCAAGAAAGAGAAGAAAGAGAAGCGAAGTTCCTCCAGCAGCGCCGCCACTTCTAAAAGTAGGAAATCTAAAAAATCCGATGAGAAAACGCTAAAAAGTGGTTCTGATTCTGAGGAAATGCCGGAAGTCCTGAAAAAGGCGGCTTTGATGAGCAACTCCTCGTCCGAACCCGACAGTGGTACCGAGGCCAAGCAGGCCGTGGAAAAGGACAACCTCAAGGGGGGCGAGAAGAGAAAACGAAAGAGCTCCAGTTCTGGCGCCGAGGTGACCAAAAGAAATACTCGAAATTCTACCGCGGCTAAAAAACAGCGCGCAGAACACTCCGACTCCTCCAACTACGACTCCGAGCTGGAGAAGAAGATCCAAAAGTTAGGAAATCTCGAGGAGGCCAAGAAATCTGCAAAGAAGAAAGCCAAAAGCTACGAAGAAAGCGAGTCGTCCGCCGAGGAACGGAACCGCAAAAAACACAAGAGAAATAAGTCCACTCAGGAGCGCGGCAAGGCGGCCAAGACCCAGAAACAGTCCACGGCCACGGACCTCTCTGACTTGTCTGAGGACAGCCATGATGATGATGCTGCAAGCCATAATTCCGATGACGGCAGCGAGGACGAGCAAAAGATTAAACCCTTAGTGGAGAATGAAGTTCTAACCAAAGCCGACTTCTGCCAGTCATCAGGTAAACTTTACTGCCCTCCATATTGCCACTCCTACCCCGGCGTGCGTGACTCGTGCCCCGGCGTGCGTGACTCGTGCCCCGGCGTGCGTGACTCGTGCCCCGGCGTGCGACACGTTTCAGGCTGATTTGCTTGTGTGGCTAGTCGGGTCAATGTGGCCCTTTCATTGGTCGGTTCAGTTCCCATGTATACAGCGCTTTCCATGTCCTTGCACAGCAGCCATGTAGAGAGGCCTGACACTTTGTTCTTCTCGTTTTGTCAACTTTCATTGCTCTGTGTGTTCCCTTTAGGCTTGCAGGGGATGGCCGAGCTCCGGCCCTCCAGCTGTGGTGAAACTACAAATCCCATGATGCATCTCTCTCCGGGAGTCATGTCTGTGAGAATCTTGCAATGCCTCATGGGATTCGTAGTTCCACCCCAGCTGGAGGGCCGGAGTTTGGCCACCCCTGGGGGATTCCCCCTCTAAATTTGTTTTGGTGTCCATTGTCGGGGGGGGGGTAATCCAAATTTCAGGAGTTGTCACCAGAGCAAGTTGTGAGGGGCAATCTTCCAAAGGGGACACCTGTTACTTCATGGCGAGTCTTCTAGACAGGAAGTAAAGGGAGTTCTCACCAAACACACAGCGAATAAACCGATCCCTACTTTAACTGAAATGCTTTTAAAAAAATGTTTTTGCCACCCGTCCACTTTACGGCAGCGGTCCTCCACCTGTGTAAGCCCGGGACCCACATTTGTCCTCTGTCATTAAGTCATGACCCAAGTCGCACACACGGCGTTGAGGTACTGCGCGTCCAGGTGCAGGCAGTCGAACTGTGGGTGGGAGGTGCTTTGGGGTGCCATTCAAATGACGCACCTCCCACACCAGTAATGGTGGGATCCCCTTTTTGGGGAATTGTTCTTCTTTGCTGAAATTAATAACCGGGGACCCACCATTATATACATATATATGAAATTAGATACCCTGTTTCCCTGAAAATAAGACCTACCCCGAAAATAAGACCTAGTACTATTTTTGGGAATTGATAAAATATATGACCTACTCCGAAAATAAGACCTAGTTGTGACCATTCCCAGGGCCGGTGGTGGCATAAGGGGGAACCTGAAGAGCCGTGGGAGAGAATCAGCGTGCCAATGAAGCCAGCGCTAGAGGAAGTGATGCGGCAGCACAGGGAGCAGAGCCGCATAAGCCTATGTTTACTCTATAGCGCCAACTCCTGTCACAGGTGGAGTGATACCCAATGCACTCCGCCTGTGAGGAATCTATAGTGAAAGTGCGCTTCGCTTTTTCTGGTTACCAAATTGCTCTTGGAAAGGTACCCCTGATTGCCCTGATCACCCTATTCTTAACTTTGCCATTTTGGATTATTTCATTTGGATTTGCATTAACTTTGGATTGTTATACATTAAAAAAAATATAAAAAAA